GGGGGGAAGAAACCCACAACAAAACCAACCCTCCTCTGCACCAGAGCCAAGAGACGGCCTGAAAACCCGGAGCTGATGGCTCAAGACCGGGCTGCGTGCTCTGCCTCTCGCAACCAAGGCAGAAACCTGTTCAGCCTCCGGCGCCCTGCAGTCCTCTGGGATCCAGCTCCTCCCTTAGATGGCCAGGGAGGTGGAAATCAAAAAAATCCACCCACCCCACGCTGCAAAGGTGCAGGGAACACCTTTATCTGGGCTTGCCCACGAGCCTTGGCTTCCTCCTTGAAGCATAAAACAAGCCCCAAGGAGGAAGACTTCCTGTAACCCACTTTCGGGCACCCGGAGAGCCAATTCTAGACCTGATACTGATCCCTCAAGACACCAGTGAAGCAGAGACATAATCGACAGCTTCGTAGAGATGGTTTTCAAGACCCCCTAAGTTCACTGCTACTCCATCAGCACGGAGGTTGAAGAGCTTATTTCTGTCTAGGAATAAATGTCACTTGAGCAACCAAGAAAGGAAATGACAAATATTGGAGGGGGAGAACAGGTAGAGCCTGATAACACGATCACGAAGGCAGAAACTGTTACAAGATCCCCTAAAATAACCAAAGTTGCAAACATCCGTGAAGATACCTGACAACGCCAAGGGTTCAGCTTGGTGAAAGGAAGCCTCGAGGAGACCAAATTTTCAGAGCAGCTACCAGCCAGAGTTTTCCCATTTGCTATTTTTGCCAAAGCGATAGCTTCCACGAGCCGCAGAGAGCAGCCCTGCCTCCCACCACCACCACAGGCCACCCAGCATCGCCGCCGGCCAGTCCCAGCCCCGCGGGCACGCGGCAGGCTGCGATAGCCGTCTCACCGCCGCGTTCGGATGGTTATTTGGGCACTTGGCGCGGTTTCCGTTAAATGAAAGGGAGCCAAGGTGAGCAAGGAGCGAGGGAGAGAGCCCGTACCTTTTTATTATCCACCACTTTATGGATGTAGATGGTTGCTTGGGTGTACTCACGCAAGTCCCGCTGCTGCTGGCATAACAGCCCTTCTCTGCACTCTGGACAGAGTTCTGGGGAGGCACAAGGGGAAAATGCATTTAATTGCTTCAGCTCCTTGGAGACACCCGCCCAACGCCTCTCACCGCTAGCCCAGAGCGGCTCACGTAACCAGGGGCATCTGCCAAGCTCAGGACCCCCTTAGATTGACCCTTTATCCGAAAAAGAGCCATTTCCCAAGGAGCTGGCACCAATTAGCAAAAGAATAGAGCGCAGAACAGCGGCAGAAGATTCACTCACGGGGCTCAGAGACGTAAAGCGTGCTCTCCGGGTCCGCCCCGGCAGCCTGCGTTCGGGTGATCTTGATGACGTGATCCACGACGAAGAGTTTTTGAATCCTCTCCCACTCGCTGGGCCATATTAGAGCTATACTGTGCAAAGGAACAAGAACGTGCTTTATGACATGGAAAAGCCAAGCCCCGAGCTTCTGAACAGCCTCCCCCTTTTCTTTTTAGTCTGTTAAGGAAAGAAAAGCTGCAAAATAAAATCCCTAACTCCAGCTACACGGGAGGGCCTGTACGCCCAAGATAACAGGGAAACAGTAGCGTGTTATTAGTGACGCTGTGCTGCTCCAGTCGTGCCGGAGGGAGGATGGAGGAGGAGTGGAAGATCTGCTACTTTTAGTTCTGCATCGCTGCAGAAGCAATGCTACGGAGCATGAACTCCAGCCCAGCGTCCAGCGCTTCGGGGGCAAGTCTCACGCAAAGCAAATCGTAAGGAAGCTGGATGCTTCTACGCCCTGGTCAAGTTCAGGGTAGTTTATTGTTAGGAACTAGCCAAGCTGAAGTAAGCTCTCTTTTTTTTTTTTTTCTTCCTCCTGACCCAGCATCCTTTGACAATTTAGGTCCTGCTCCGCACGAAGGCTAAGGCGGGCCTGAGAAAGTGCCCGTGTCAATTTTGCCCAAGGGAAAGCATTTGCTCCTCCTGATGCCGCAGCTCAGCGAGCCCCCGGGAACGTTCCCCGAGGCTCGCGAGAGACAAAGGCACCCGGCAAAGGCAGACGCCTGAAGAGAAGAAACTCACAGTTTGGAGTCTTCTTTGGTCATGGAAGCGTAGGTGAACATGAGCCCCCCGTGGGGGCAGAGCAGAGCGCTGTTTCCTACCGAGGAAACGGGGCTGCATCGTGTCGGCCTCCTGCGCGGGCAAAGGAAAGCTGTTTGCAGAGCCTGGTCGGGTTATTTCACAAAAACCACAACTCCGCAGGCAGCCAAGAAGAAATCGCAGGTGAATATTTACAGAAGGCATTCCAACAGGGAGTATTAAACTACTACCGACGAGGAAATCAGATCTGCGTTCCTGCGCGTCGCAAAATTACTCTCCTATCTAGCAGAGATTTCCATCTCCTACCACCAGCAGCCCGGGGAAAAGGATTGAGAGGTGACCTTTGCCTAGGACGCAGCTCCAGACAGACGAAAAAACTAATCAGGTTACTATCTAATCCGACCATCCGGTTAAGACACTGTAAACAAGGAAATTCGGTTTCTTACAATGTATTACAACCGATACGAGGCCGACAAAAATCATCTTCCTTGTTTCCACAAAGGCAAACCACAGGTAACTACATGCCGCGCCGGAATTCAAAAGCAAAATCATTATCTACAGCCCCCGCCCCACCAAAGGAATAAAAAGCACCAAAAACCTCAAGCCAAGTTACCTGACAAATTTCCTCCATTCTTCTACAAAGAACTGCGAAACGATATACAGCTCATCTGTCTCCTGGAGGTGAAAAGAGGGACAAGAAAAGAAAAAAAAAGGATCTTTTTTTAATTAATCCAACAAAAGAGAAGCGATGACTGTTCAGCTTTTTCTGCAGCGCTCATTCTCTTCAAGACCTCAACGTTCTTACCATGACAACTCCATCCAAGCGTGCCGGGAAAGCCAACTAAAATAATTTGGGATCAAGTACTGAGCACTTACATTACTAATCTTGTGTTTATTACAAAGTTAATTCAGCTTTAGATCCAATTACCTTTAATTCACAGCAGGAAACGGTCATTTCCCCTGGAGCAGCTAAGACTCCCCCAGCACCGTGTTTTCTCTCGCTGGGTACTCGGGGTCTAAAGTGCCTTCGCACCCCCACGGGTGTGGGGTGAGACCACCCCAACCTGCCTCATCTGCTTCACCCTTCAAAATCCTGAAATTTCTCCTTTCGGCAACAGCAGGGACTCAAAACCACGGCCGTGCCCCCTCACGAGGCAGCAGTTTTGGATAAACCGTTGTGTTCCTGCCCAAAATGATTTGCCGTGGGACAGTCTGCTCCTGGACAAGAAACCACTGAGATCCTAAGAGCTGGGTGACAAAATAGTTTCCGTGCTCACCTATCCTCACCACCTTCCCTAACGCAGATTTAAGACCTCACTCCACCTTTCTGCAAGAAAATCCAGCACACCTGAGGAACATAGGTATTTTTTTTTTAATCTCCCTTCATCTCTCTAGATTAAACCACTCCGCTTATTTTCTTCCCTGAACCTCAACTGTTTTGGATCAGGAAAACCCACAAAGCTTGAGGGAAGGATGCTCAGCTCCTTTTTATCATGCTCCCTTGGGAACTTCAAAGGGAGCAGAGGACATAGCCTCGCTGCCTGGAGACACCCTCCTATTTTGAGCTGACCCACGGTGACGGGCTCCAGCTTGCCATCACCTACTCCAGCTCCAAAAGCATCCCCAACCAGCTACGACCCTTAAACACCGCCGGCAGGACCTGGCAGCTCTCCAGCCCAGCACAGAGCGTCTCCCATTTAAACCCTTTTGGGGCTCCCCGGTTCCGAGACACGGATCCGTCTTGACCTCGGTATTTATTGCCTCGGAGAAGGCACCCGAGAGCGGCAGGCTGCCCTCAGGCGTAGGAGCGACCGAGGCAGACACCTGCCAAAGCAGCTTGGCAGGATCGAAGAGTCAATCGTTAATCGGCGCCGCCAGACGTCCGGGAGCCACGGCGCGGAGCCAACAGCTTGTGCCATTTCTTTTGAGCTGCCTCGAATGCCCAAAGGAAAGTCCTGGAGAGCTGCATGCTTGTACCGGGGAGAAGCCGGTACGAGAGGTCTTGCACAACCGTCGCTTCAGCATTTAGGGAAGCTCCCCCTGAGCTCTCGGGACGTAGGAGTATGCCAGAACACGCACGAATTTTGTCCGACCAACAGCAAAAGCCTGGCCTGCACGGGAAGGCGGACGGAGGGCGGTGGAAAAGCCACCTCCGCCGGCATGGCCGCACCGTTCCGGTCCTCCTACGGCTGGATGTAACCGCAGCAGCGATGCTGTCGCTGCTCATCTGACTCCCGGCCAGCTGCAGCTATGCTGGCACACGAGCCGTTCTTGGGAATCTTTAGCGGGGCTTTGCGCCAGCACAGCTAATCGGGGGAAATCACACCTCGGCACAACACACGTGGAGGCTCGGCTGGCACAGGCTTCCCAGCACAGGCGCGGTCTCACTCGGACCGAGTGAACGATTTCCAGGCAGTCTCTCTCGCAGGTGAAATAAATTTTTGTTTAGGAGAGGGATAAAAGCTAATAAAAACGTCCCCCAACCCCTGCTACATTCCCCTCGTCGCCCTCCTTCCCGTACCTGAGGCCAGCTGCCCAGGCAAGGTCTGCATTTATCATGAAAGAGGTTCTGGAGAGAAGTCTTCTGCTCGCTGGCCATCATCTTATGCAGAGCTTCGTTCTCCTCCCCTTCGCGCTCCAAAATCTGCACGAACACAGTTAATCACACCACAGCTTCAGTTCCTCACTGCGATTAAAAGGTGACGTTACTTTTCCTCCACCGCACTGGGTCGTTAAAAAGGAAAGCAGAAATATGACTGTGTATTTACACTCAACAAAAGGGTAACGTTATTCGGCATTCGAATACCTTGCACTGGGAACAGCACTCTCTGTTATTTGGGAATTCAGGGGCCTTTGGAAAATATTGCTTGAGTTTCTCCCAGGCTTCCTTCGAAACCACCCTCCGCTCGTTTTCAGATATGCACAGGTCACCTGCAGAGAGAGAGCCAAGAGAAAGGCTTTGCTCTTGACGCGCTCAGTGATGTTTTGCAGCCCTAACTAGATTTAAGAGATTACAGGCTATAAATGCGGGGAAAAATATTCATGCACTTATCGGCCAACACCATGTCAGCAAAAAAAAGCGCAACTAATACGCAAAGTCACCTTCAACTTCTTTGTCATCTCCTTATTTGGACAGGAAAAAAAATAACATGACTTTAATTCATCTAAATGTCCTTTAGATTTCAAAGCTCACGAACCCAAGCAGCTGATCAAATACCAGCGGCGGTAAAAAGATGCTTGGAAAAGCAAGGACAAGCCAAAGAGGGCATGGGGCTACTGTTTTCTGGTCTTGGCTATCCACAGCTGCATTTTCATGGCTGCAGGCCAACGCCATGTCCCGTCAAACAGGAGCCAGGTGCTTTCCACACCCTTGAAAAACGACGTTACCGCTGCATAACGTCAGACAGCTTCACGTGCCCGACTCTGGTACCTCAAAATTCGGAAGGACGGATGTCGCACCCTCGATCTGCTCTAGGGAATAACTGGGGTGTGAAGATACGAAGCGCGACCCCACGTGTACGCACGACAACACGCGCTCCGGCGAACAAACACGGCTTGGGAAAACTGGAGAGGGCGAGGGCTCGGGGATCCGACCGGCCGCCCGCTTGCGGGCTTGGTGATCACTGAGGGGAAAACACAACCGCATCTCCCTGCGAGACGGTGGCTGGGAAGTTGAGGCACGGCTGCGCTCCGCGCCGTCACGGCGAGAAGCAAGAGGAACAACCGTTGCAACTGCGAGATGCAAACCAGATTCGGATGCGGCACAGGAATATTCATGCCTCAACGCGGATTTCGCCAGCAAGAGGGAAGCAAAACAGCAACTGCGAAGTCGTGGTGCCGAGCGGTGCCCAGGAAAGGCCACGATACCTTTATTATCTGTTTTTTCTACAGCCTGAAGAGCTACAGAAAGAAGAGGGGGAGAAAAGGCTCCTTCCTCCCCGCCCTCCGGTAGCTCTTTAACATTACAAGCAGCTCCTCAGCCCCACGGACCCGTCAGCCTTCCTCGCTCCAGCCAAGCCTGGATTTCTGCCAGCCCCGAAGGGAAAAAATAGCAACGCTCCCCTCCTGCTTTTCCTCTAATAAACAAAGGTCGGGCTGGACTGCTTCGATGCAGCACTTGGCCACTTGTTCTTCATCAAACATGACCAAGTGGCCCAGCTTTACCATATGAGGAGGCAGGACCAGGCTGCTTTCCAGAGCCAGCGAGGGGGAAAAAAAAAAAAAAAAAAAAAGAAGATGAGCTTGTACAAATAAGTGCCTTGACACCGCATGATTAATGAAAACAGATTAATACGTCGAGCGAAAGAGGTGGAAAAAAAATCAGATCTGGGTGTGCGGGGAACAAGTGCTTTGCCATCTGGAAGAAGATGATCCTAACCACTGCTGACCCCGCTTCCCCCTCCCACCCTTCAGGGACACGTTTTGGGCACGGACATCAAAGAAGTCTTAACTTGGTATCTGGAAAAAATTATTCGCTGGGGGCAGGCGGCTACCGGAGAGCGAGAAATTGCAGCAAAGATGCAAAGGGGCTTCTTAAGGGAACGCCCGGGTGGCATTTCTGGAGGCCAGCCAGACCTCACGGATAAAGCGCTGGCTTTTCCAGAGCCTACCACGAAGGCAGGAACTTCCTCCACGGCAAAATTAAGGCTGTAGGACCGAGACTACAGATTTGCTGATACACTCCAGAGGGAAATTTTAAAGGTGGAAAGGTTATTTTCTGTGAGTAATCGGAGCTTAGCTCGAGACGATGAAATCTGGCCTGCCAGTGGCCCCCGTATTTAATATTATTTATTCTGATATGACCCAAAGTCACAGATCAACTAGCGATTTACCAGCATAATATTTTCAAAGGCCTATTGGCCTATTTTTACCATGTCTGGCTACATTAAAGGTTTCATCACCGCACTGCATGCTTTTATTCAACAGCAGCAGCCTCGCGGCAACGGGAAACATGACGTTCAAGGCTCTGAAAAAACAGCTAATGCCATGACAAAGCGCTTAAACACTCTGCTTTAAAATGAGGCTTTATCAAGCCATTACTCTACATCCTTGATTAGCCTTGATGACAGGAGGTGTGTTGCTAATTTATGGCATGTTTCTTTCTTACTAGGAAGAAGATCGAGCATCCCTGGCAGGGAAATTGATGCCTCCGAACAGGAGCTTGCTAGAACAGTTATGTCTGGGAACGAAATACAAGCTTAAAAAAAAAAAGTGAGATTTAAACAACAGGGTAGCCAAGGGTGTAGCTAATGAACCATCACCTTGCAAAACAACTAACATCAGGTCAAAACCTTATGTAAACGGACACCAAAGCACAGCAGGTTGGTAAATCGATACCCTTAGCGGTCCCAGCCACCCGCAGATCAGCCCGTTTCTACAGTTGTTAGGCAAGTGCTCCCTTTTCACCTAAGTCGAGAGAATAAACGGATGCTCTCAGCTCCCATCTTGACTGATTTACACCACCTGTTTTTCTCCTAATACTTTCAGAGCTTCCAAGTGGCTGCAGATCCTCGGGGCTGCCGGCGCTTCGTTAGCGAGAGGAAGAGATGCTCGCTCCCGCAGCATCCAAGCGCCTCTGCCTTTACGCCCCTTTCACTGCCTTACGAAACTTGGACTGCAACGTTCAGCGCTCGCAAATAAAAGCTCGAGTGTCAAGAAAGACCAGGCAAATGAGAATTAAGCGCCTTTCTTCAGTAATTGCTCGTGTTGGAGTAAAGGCTACAAGGTTAATGTCTTGAGCAGTGGGCAACAACAGATATATTCAGCTCCATCCCCCGTAGAGACTTACCATGTGGGCAAACGATGTCTTCATTAAAATTTAACTCCTCTTCCTCCTCTCTCTTCTCTTCATTGGATTCATCTAATTAAAACCAAAAAGAAACAAAAACAAAACCCAAGAAGATTGCACAGAGTTCCTCTCCCAAGGAAAGATCTTTGGGGAAAAGGGGCACGGTTGCCTTGCAAATTGCGGCAAAACCCTTAACCCAAGGGAGACTTTGGAAGCAAATTTGTTATTCTCAAATGTCTTGGCCTCTGGGCAGGCGGGATTACAGCCTACAGGCCACGTAGGAGTGCTTTGAAGTTCGTGGAGCACAAGCCGGTCCTTTGTGAGATTACAAAGGACACGTTTGTTACGGCTAAACCACCACAGGGGTTCACTGCTCCCAAAGATCTCGGATTTTAACCTAAACACAAGTCGAGGTAAGAGCGCAGGGAGCAGAAACCTTCCTGGCAAAATATTAGTCCGCTCTTTGCCTTGAGGATACTGATCTAAACCAGATGTTGTCTGACAAACTAAGGGGGAGCCTGCCAGGGGTTCGACAAGCCCCGCGTTCACGTATAAATTCCAGCGAAGAACCGCAGTTCCACGGGCAGAAGCGCCAGCCACTGACTTGGAGCATCACAACCACAATAACGCGTTAGTAAAGAGTCTCTAACGACCTGCCTAACAAGAAAGTTGGCTTGTGAGCAATCTTAATGCACTACGGGGAGTTGGAACCCGTTGTGAAACCAAGGTCACCATCGAGGAATGGGGAGAGGTAACTCAGTGGAGGAGCGCCCTTTTCTCAACGAATGCTCCACCAGCAGCGCCAGTTTACAGATATTATCAGGAGGGCTGTGGTGTTCTAGGAGCCTTCACGCCCAAGATCAACGCCATTAGCCCATCGTCTCCACTTTCATTCAAACAAGCTTCTTGCCCTCACTTCTGAAACAAAAAGCTCAACAAAATATCGAGTTTCCAAAGCCTTAAAGGGCAGAAGGCAAATAAAAAACCCCATCTCTTCTCACAGACTCAGGATATGGGCATAGAAGAGAGTTCAAGTCATGATTTGTTTTTTCTAGGCTGTGATTTCCCAGCGCCGCTTCACCAGCTGTGCCGTTTCATCCACAGACCTTCGCAATAAACATCTTCATCCCTTCCCCAAGGTAATTTTCATGTTTCTTCCTCCCCTGCGCTCTCTCTCATTCAGATAAAAGCGGATGAAAAGATCGTGTGTCTGCGGCGGTAATTTTACACAGCTTTGTAAAACCACTTATTACCTCATCTTCACCGGGTACGAAGATCGCCCAGCAGTTTTGAAGCTTATCAAACAAAAAGGTCCTTAAATGAAGGAGCTTTTTATTTGATTTATTATCCTTTCCTCCCTACTCATACAAGGGAAGCAAAACAGCTACAGGAACACCTGATGTGTCTTTTGTTAGGAGGTACCAGTCAGAGCTGGTGGGTCTCTACAGCAGCAGAACTACCTTTGTTTTGTGCATTTCCATTCATTTTTCCATTACTGTGCTCTGCATCTTCATCTTGCTCATTTAATTGCTCCAGAGCCAACTGACGCCAGCTCCGCAAGGACGCCTTTCCGACCCAAAACCCGTCATTCCTGCAGAGAGAGAACAGTCTTGGCAACGCAAATCACAACTCCGTTCTCTTTTGGAGCCCGAACAGTAAAATCTTTAGGAAAAAGCTATTTAAGCACTTCTAAAAAATCTCTGACACTGTTTGAAAGCGTCAGGACTTACGTACCCCTTGACTGTTATCTTCAGCAAGTTCGTAACGGTTTTGTAGTCTTCGTTTAACTGGTTTTTCAGTCGCAGGATTCGACACCTTTCTACCACGCAGTCCTTGCAAAGTGCTTTGACTGGGGTGGGGGAAAAAAGAAACAATTTATTGTACAATTTATTGCACACGTGCTGAGCTTCTTGCTGGTTTGAACGTGCTCAGACAGGTAGGTACCAACTATCCTGCCTCAGGACCGGAGATTTCACGTGTAAATGGGGAGATTCCTGGGGTTACTGCCAGATCAGGCCACATTTGAAGCTTAAATAAGCGTAAAATGCTTCAGATGAGGTGTGATCTGTTCCGCTAGCTTCACAGCTCTCCGCCGCTGGTATCAACAGTTGGCAGTTACAGCTGCGAGCCACGTCACGCCACCACACAGCCACGGGAGTCAACAGGCACGACGGTTTAGGCATATGCAAGCAAAAAAGAGCCTGTATCACGGCACTTTGCAAGCTAAACCCAGAAAAAAAAAATCCCCTCCCGCAAAGCCACATTGGACCAACAGGAGCGGAAACCCTACAGCTGGGCGTGTATTTTCGTCTGTGAGCAAGCAGGTCGCATCCACGGCAGCAAGCTGGAGAACGCAGCGCATCCGATCCATCCCTCCCAGCCGTACCGAACGAGAAAACCTGCAGGGGATCTTCCAGTAGACTAATAAACGTTGGCCTGGTTTTTTTTGGGTGTTGTTTTTTTTTTTTTTTTTTTTTTTTTTTTGACAAAGGCTGCCTGCGTCACAGCAGTTTGTGCCGGTTGCGTTTCTTCCCTACAAGCTCCTAGCAGGAGCTGAGCTAATTTGGTCCCAGTGGGAGTTATTGAGCTCCTTTATAAAAGAAACTAAGCCTGGGGCTCGATTGAGGGACACCCAAAGACTGTAGGGGCTGGGCTGACCTCAAAAATCAAAACGCGTGACAGATGTGTGCAACACAAGCGCATAAGCTAACAGGTACGAGCTTCCCTCAGCTGAGGCAGCTTGGGACAGGCTAGAGGTGAAAGATAGTATGTGATTTTCTTGGCCCGCGTACATCCCCGCCGCTCCGGAGCGCGGGTTGCTGGCAAGAGGCAGCACAGATCCGCACGCTCTGCGAGGCTCTGCCCACGCAGGATCTGTAGGTGCTGCAGGCACGGAAAATTGTTCCGAAGCGTCTGGGGGGGTTGCATGTGCGAGTTTTGTTATTTTCTAGAATCAACTTCATAAAACTATCCAAGTATTACTTTTTTCTAACCTAAATGCACCACTGCTTTCTCAGAAATTCCTCCACGCATGGGTCTTCCTCGACAAAGCAGAACTCAGGTCTGAAATGGACCCTGCGATCAAGACTAACTGCATTTGTTTGAATGCTAATGTAATTAAGCGACATTAAAAATAAGTCACCTGGAAATAACAGCGCAGCACGAAAGCTAGGCGCAGAAATAAAGTTATGATGACAAAGGATGGCTCAAAATGGTGCTGGGACCAGAACAAGGCTCTAAAACATGTTCAGGACACGAGAACGTGACTTCGAGGGGGTTTTCTAGCCCGACACCTTACCGTTCAGTCGTGGCCCTCCTCCGTATCTCCTGTAGAAGAAATCAGCCACGTACTCCGATATCCTCTTCATAATGGATATTTTATCCGGATGGAGTTTGCCGTGTGAGCACAGGCAGGCTGTGTTATCTATAGGTTTTGGAGGAGTAGACTCATCCAGCCATTTCTGCAGCCATTCGAGAGAGATGAAGTCGTACGGGGAACCTGGGAGGGGAAAAAAAAAACCACAAAGAGAAACAAGCCCGTACGTGTCAGCGAACACACGATACAGCAGATGGTATTTTATAATTACTCTGATATTCAACGGTACTTTTAAAAATTAACAGGCTACAGCTGTTGATTAAATCTCTGCGATACAAGTTTTCAAACATCCGATGCAGCTTCCCCCGTCCAATTCTCATCTCGGTATCGCAGATTTAGAAGGCAGGAGCTACGTGAAATTAAGACGCGCAAGAACAGGCGGTCATTTTGAATTCGAGCCATCGATACGAAACAGCGGAGGGCTCCACGTGGGAAAGGGAGTGCTTTCAGAGTGCTAAACCTTTAGGGAGTGCTTACTGGAGAGTAGTCGAGGAAAGGGAAAGGTTTTCCCATCGTCCATCGAGGGACAAATATAATATTTCAATTACGATCATCCATTAAAGGCTCTTTCTACAACAGAGCAAGCTCATCATGGTAAATTGAAAAATAAAAGGCAACAATATCAAAGAGACAAGGTCAGCATTCGCCTCGTCCCTTCAGGACCCAAAATTTCAGTGTTACTCTGGGCTGCTCTTAAAATGCGTGCGTGTTTTCTCACCCAGTCGTAAGATTTACAGTGCAAACAAACTTGCTCAAATTTTTTAGCGCGAGCATATTTTGATGTTTGTTTTTTTTTTAAAACAGAGCAGCAGGCTCGCCCTTGTTTGCTAAGGGAGAAGCACCTCACACAAAGCCAAGGTTCAGGAGTGGGTCAGCAACTGTATGAGCAGTGAAACAGGTTTGGGTGAAAGCCCTGTATCTCGATACCGAGCCCCAGTATCGATGCGGAAGCCCTTCTGCGAGCCGATTGGGAAATTCGGAGGAAATCAAACCCATTCTGTGCTGACACGAGGAAGGCAGCTCCGAAGCCGAGGGGAAACGTAACTGTTAGTTACATTCAATCAAACACACACAAATCCTTAATGGCTCATACACAGAAGCAATAGAGAAGCTGCAGGAAAAGACTTTGCCTTCCAGCTCGCGCTGGATCTTTGCAAAGCCGGGCTTCAAACCCTCCCTCCTCTGCAGGATAAATCAGCAGTATTTTCATCTTACGCAACACCATCAGAGATACACAGCCACGACCTCCAGAGAATTGCAACGCTGTCAGAAACGGTTTGCTAGTTTGGGATGAAAGCTGCCTCCCCCGGAAAATACGTTTTTCTGGGGCAGGCTACACAAAGCTGGCAGAAAACGTGTCTGCACAGCTGCAGAGAAAGTCCCGAGCTCCTGCGGGACAGGACCCGGAGCAGCTCTGGGATAACGCTGTCTCCAGCTGCGCTGGCAAGCTGCGGTGCCCAGCAGCAGGTAGTGGGTGCCCTCAGGGCAGTACTTCAGGCCCTGCCATCTTCAAACTGGGGCAGAGGAGCTTTACCTGCGCCTGTAAAAAAGGCCTTTTTGAAATTTATTCCTCTGTCGTGTTAGAAGTGCCGAGAGCAAACTATTCTGTTTCTGCTAAGGAGGGGAGAAAAACACACCGGAGCTGCTGCTCCCTTTTAATGGTGACTCACGGCAGATTCATACCTCCACCACAACTTTGATTTAAAGGTGACATTTTAACAGCGCTCAGACTTGCGGGAGCTCGGCAAGATGAGCTGCGACACCCTCTTGTTCGTGAGCGGAGCGCCCGTTGTCTGCAAACCCGGCTTCAAAAATTGGAGAGGCAGACGTTTACGGGAGCCAAGGAGTCTGCTGTATGGTTACTCGAGTCTCGCTGCTGGTTCTGAGCATCGAGCAACCAATATTAAAAGCTAAAAATCAAATTGTCTAACGGGCTACACAATTAAACACATTTTAAAGTCTTTAATTACAAACTTCCCGGAGCTGAGAGAAATTCCCCATGCTGGATGGACAGAGCAGGTGCCCTTACACGTGGTTTTGAGGGAGTCAGGAGAGAAAAACAAGGAGGGGAATAAAAATCTTTGGGCGCAGACATGCTAAGGCAACAAGACACAAGGAGTGGCCGGAAAGGATTAACCCCAGTCATTCGTCAGACAGACTACGAAGCTTAGACATGGGGCTTCGACGCACTGGTGGGGATGAATCAAATTGTTTTCTGCCGAAGGCCAGGCATTCTCGTACCCTGTTCCCTGCTGATTAATTCGGATCAACAGCTCCCAAACTTGACGTGAGCTGGCAATTTGAGTCCGGCCAGTAATTTTGCCTCGACGCTACTAATCGCTAACGAGACGAGCTGCTCACCAGGCAGAAGAAAACAGTCACAATGCATGGAAGCAGGCAGGAGACTGAGTGACGGGGAAGGAGCAAGAGGGAATTAGTGACGCCAGAGGCCATAAGAATGAGCAAAAAAGGAGAAAAATAGGTTAAGGCAGAAAAACAAGAGAGAGAAAGCAAACCCTAAGCGTGCACACATCAACAACAGCCAGCCATTGCTCTCCTCTTCCGAGAGGGCTACACAGCTAATGCCTTCCAGCGAAGCGTTAGGCCACAGGAGCGAGTAGTGGGTTAGTTACAAAACATTGCTAATCTTAACAAAGGTCTACTACAAAATACTATCACAATATCTTACAGACCAGCTTCAGCGGGTAACCTTTTGTAGAGCTCCTTCACCTCTTCGTGTTTGATTTTGCCTCTGGCCACGCTCTGTTTGCGCATCTCAGCCATTTCGTTGCACCACTCCTCAAACTTGCAGTTATCGCGCTCTACCAGCTCCTGCAGAAAAGCTGTTGGGAAAGAAGCAAAAGCAGTCATTTCAAGGAAAAATGCCAATTATGTTAATTATCGATCGGTTATCTGGGGATAACAAGCAAGTCTAAAAATTCCCCCCACACATGAGGTCTCTCCAAAAGCCGAGAGCACGGACGTTGCGCTCTCCAATATTTATGGTTGTAGATGATTAAATGCAACTATCCCGCGCGATACAACGCCGCCCAAGAAAATAATTTACTCGGGGTTGGTTGCTGCGTTAAGAGCAATCCTTTGCTTGCTAACGAGCCTACGCCGAGCGCTGGCAAGCACACGAAGCGCAACAGGGGTTTGGCGAGAGGCTGCAGAGCTGGAGCACGGCAGGACGCTTTGCTGCCCGCTTCAATCCCTCCCTGCTATTCCTCTGGCTCCGGCCATTTCTCTGCCTCCCGCTGAGGGCGGCTCCTCTGTGCTGCCAAGGACCCGTCGTTCCCAGGACAGAAGCAAGAGCTTTTCACCCTACGGATACACCTGAAAGCTCGTCCCGATGTGCCGCCCCAGGGCTACGCGTGATCTCGGCGAGAGGGGTCGAGCATGTTGCAAACCCAAGGGCAAAAAAATGCCCTCGGGAGATGGGAGATAAGCCGGGACAGATCCTGGCGTTGACAAAACGGTGAGGGAAATGGGAATTTTTGCTGTCACCGACGGAAAAAACCCAAACCAACCAAACCTCAGCAGGGAAAAAAAGAAGATAAAACACTTCCCTCGCAGAGCTGGCGTAGGGGAGGGGGAAAGCGCTGCTTATCTGAAGCTTTTTCCTATTTAGCAGGATTTTGAAGAACTAAAATATTTCCAGAAAGGTTAACGCTCGTGCGGCCAGAGAGCACAATATCCACCTTAGGAGAACATACAGTATTAAAAAACAACCAGCTTGACCCCCTTGAGGTCAGAGCCAAGTTATGTCTCTCCACTGTCCCGGAAAAGCCGCTTTTAACAGCATCAAAGCAAAATGCCTCAAATTTACAGTTGCATGAAACCTCGCCGCAACCGCATGGCTCGACTGCTGCCCTTCGCTCCCCGTTCCCTGGCAGGCTTCCACGTGAAACAAAGGCAACCGCGGGGCTGCGCAGGAATTTGGAGCTGGGTGGAGAGGCTTTTGCCGAGTTATTGTTTTGGGCAGAGGGGTAGGAGGAAAGGGAGCGCAAGAGAGCTCAGGAAACAGACCGAAAATGCCGATCTGAGGCAGGAATTAGCAGTAATTCCCAAAACCGTGTGGCTCCAAGGCGGGGGTTTAGCGGTGGTGGTGCTGGAAAAGGTTTGGTGCTGTTATTAGGTGGGGAGAAAAAAGCCACATGATTTACCCCCTCCGCATCCAGAGAACCTGAACAAGCAGCAGAGGTCCGAAGGGGACACGCCACCTCCCCCGTCCGCGCTCCGCAGAACACACCTCCATCCCCATCAGCACCAGGGGCCTAATTAACGTTTCTAATCGAGTAGCACGCAAACGCGAAGCGTCATTAAATCCACGGGCCAAACCTACAGGGATTTCTGCCACCCCCAGTAATTCTAAAGCAAGACACGAGCGCGCTCATACAAAACTCCTGTTAAGGGCTTGTATCCTCTTATTTTCACGCCGTTTATTCTCACCATGGCAAAGATTAAGTGCTCGCAGAAGAAACCTGACATCTGTCAGGATTATTCACCTCCAGCACAGCACATGCACTGCCGATGACATTTAACCACGTTGTTCTCCCTCGCCTTCAGGAACCCGAGCGCTTCCTGCGGGATCCCGGCTGCAAATCCCAACGCTCCCGCTGCCGCACGCGGCTCCCAGCGGGATGATCTCCTCCTAACCCCTTCCCGTCTTGTCTTGCTGGTTAAGATAACGAGGTCTGAGCGGGGACAGGGGTGGGATCATCAGGCTACTATTACTTAAGTGCTAGGAGAGCCCAGGCGTTTCACTGGCCGTGACAGCGAGCTGCCATACGGAACCTTTGAAAAAAAAAGAGCTGCCATACGGCACCTTTGGGGGCTCGCGGACAGCGGTGACAAAAGTGGCTTCAACCAACACCGTGACTCCCGGCCCGCCTGGAGCGCCGCAGGACGAGACGGAGAGGCCAAGCTCGCTTACCTGGTACTTCGATTGTCAGAGATTTCTCCCGGGTTTGCAGCCTGTACACCAGCATGTAGGCGTTGCGCGAGCAGTGAGTCCCTTTCCCGCACTTGGGCTTCCGAGTCTGGGATTTAGAAGGTTCCGCTGCGGTACGGAAGGCAAAAGATAATAAACACACAGGCTCGCTCGCCGATTCTCCATTAATGGGACGAGTTTGCCACCTAGCTGGCTTCCCTCTCCCCGCTGCGCCCTGCCAGACCTTTTTGCCAACAACTGGGCTTGGCATGAGCAGAAATTGTATCCCAAAGCAAGACCCAAATCCCTCCAGCATTTCTGGAGGCAGGGTAATTCAAAGGGACTAAAATTAGGAGCCTGCTCTGAACTGCCCTGTACAAGAGTCTCTCCTCTCTCCGCAGTTAAATCTCATTGAGCCAGAAGCAGCTCTTGCCAAAACACCCTTTCTCCCCTCTGCCTCTTGTTCTGGTGTCCTCACTCCAAAGAAGAGAGGCAAATCCTCAGGGAAGAAAATCTTATTTACAGGTGATTGTGTACACGAAAACACACGCGCCCTTCCGCGCGGCGACAAAGCTTTCAGGGAGCGAACGGCCAGGGAAACGGTCATTTCGGAGCAGCTGGTGGTGCGACGTAAACTCGTGTTGCAAGAGCCGTCGTTTCCAGACAGACTGCCAGGCAAGGACAAAAACACTTATCTACAGCTGCAGCTTCAAAAAAAAAAAATCAACCAGTTTTTTTTTGTTTAAAAACAAAACAAAACAAAACCAAGCCTCCATAGGTCAAACTCTAACTGGAACACTGAAATATTGAGAAAAGTGTCTGTCTTTCTGAAATTCTGGAAAAATTCATGTGCCTTTCCCACCACATCGTCCGGGGGACTTCCCAGACTCTCTTTATTTGCATTTTCTCCAAATATTTTCTAAATTGTTCCCATCTGCTCGGCCGGGCCACAGGACTCTCCCCACAGCAGACCTCTGCTTTACGTTACCGACCCTCTTCCGCTGTTACATGCGTTTGTAACGAAGAGGAGTCTCGGTTTTGCTTGGAGTAAGCAAATAACATCAGCACTTTATAAATATATTAAGGCTCCCAGCCTACAGAGGCCTCTAAACATGCTTTACTTATTTTATTCAAGCAGCCTTGTATTTCAGCAAGAATACTTACTTGCGGTGAAGCATAAACCTTCAGGAGATCGAGGCCACAGCGGTTTATTTGCATCTTATTTTACTACACTGGGTAACTCGTGAGGTTAAGGAGGGCTGAGCAGCTCTCATTTCCTTTCGGGGCTTATTTTTCTGTCTTACACCACTAGATGTCTAGCCAGCTTCACAATTTGGTTGCAAGCGAGCGGCAGTCAAACATTAACAGGATGACAAAGCTGCTCCGGTGGCAGCCAGCATTTATGCATGTCGTGATGAAATGCAAGAAGATGTTTACTAGCAAGAGAGCTGAAAATAAAGCGGCATCATACAGATGCACGCACGGACGGAAATGGGAGAGGGAGGCTACTGCCCCATGCCTGCTCGAGGGCGTGCTCAGCCTGACGTGGCTTTACAACAAACTAAGGGAGCAAATAAATCTGAGGGTGTCTTTTCATGAAGCTGTTAGTTAAGGATGCCTTTAAAAAAAGGCAGCATTTCATGAAGTCCAGCTGCAGCAAAGCATGAGCGTCCTGGTGGGCCAGTGTTTCTCAGAACGGATTGCTTACATTCTAAGTGAAATTTCCAGCATTAACTTCCCCGTTTCCCGATACTGCAAAGCGTCCTGCGCTAAGGAACACCGAGCGACTGCTCTGAGCACTCAAAACGCCAATTTAACGTTGACCCGCTCCTATACATCGGCTGCAGAGCGAGAAACCCGCAGGTCCAGCCTCAGCCCAAGCTCTCCAAGAAATCAAGACCCTGTCCTGCCCAGGGAACACGGTTATCTGGGCAGCACCAGGACACCGGCACAAGACGAGCCGATGATGGTAGGCCAGAAGAGCGCAAAGGAAAAGTAAAGAGTGCAAAGTAAAAACGCAGTTTTGGCTTCCAAGCCATTATTTGGCTCAAGGGTTTGTTTTTTTTTTCAACGGAGACTCTTTACTGCCACCAAGTAAAACACCTCAGTGGAAATAAAAACATTACTTTCAGTTTCCTTAACGCGTTCTGTCGTTATCTGTTCCTAAGCCTCCTTTCATACAGCGGCCAAGGAAGCAGCAACTTGCCTGTTTCATGCTGATAGGCAACTGCTGCCCAAGTTACCAGCGTCTTATCTGCCACGCGGCAGCCCAAAGAAATACTAGCGTAGGGGAACCGATCACGAGGTGTGTGCGAACACTCACACGGGGCTGAAAGGAAGAAAATCTGGCTGCGATTAATAGAATTGCCATTTCACACGTTACTCCTAAGATGCACACGTAGGAGCACTTTTGTTTTAAGAGTAACAGGGCCTCCACGAATTCAGCCTCCGTGCTTTTGGTGAAAAAGAGTTATTTTAAAAGGGCACTCACAACTTAAAGGTTTTACCTAGATCTTCCTCAATCCCCAACTGCAGTTTCTTCCCCTCCATCTTTTCTATGTCTTCGTCGTTAAACTTGTACCACTCGCCCGTCTGCGGATCCTTCACGTGGGCGATGTAGTGCCCAGAGTACGCGCTCACGCCTCGGTGTATGAGGACGGCACTAAGTTCATACACGTAGACACCATCTGCAAGGAAAGCGGCAGTTAGGCAGCGCTCCGGATGAAAGAGCGCAGATCTTTTCTTTCCTAGCACTTAAGGTTTTTGCAAGACAGCAAAGATTGCACTTGAACCTGCATCTCTGCAAGACCTCTCTGAGCAGGTTGTGGCTTCCACAACCCACTTTGCGAGGCACTTATTTGAAACGCGGGCTTCAAACAACTCTTGATGTAGTTTTCCATCAAAAAGGGGATTCGGAGCAGATCTCCTCTTGTCTGCCGAGGGGTGGTGGGTACTACTAACGAAACACAGCGCACAAAACTCACTTTTTTGTTCCATAAAAGGCTCCATGTCAAGGAGCTCGGAGAAGCCGATGTAGGTGTTCAGCTTTTTCTTATGGCCAGTTTGTCTGTGCGGAGGCAAAGCTTCGGTTCAGGGGATGGCAGTAACAGTTCACAACTCAAAACACCTCCCCTTGAAACCCACCGAGCATCCCCAGAGCAGCTCACGCACGCACTCAAGCCTCAATCTCTCAAATCAACACAGAAAGAGCAAAGCAGATGATTTTCCAAAGAGCTTCCACGCAACCCAGGGCGTTCCCGCTTCTAGGGCACGCTCTCCGGGGAGAGGCTTACCTGTCAAACACGAAACGCATCAGCTGCAGGTTGAGCGTGCAGGGAAGGCTCAGCAGCCTGATCTTCCTCGTGGCGTTCTGCTTACTCTGGCAAGTTTCGCAAAAATAACGATTGTCCCCTTCTAATTTTTCTTCCTGAGCAGGGAAGGGAGGCAGAAAGAAAGGTCTAGAGAACAGGTTACCACTGAAAAGCCAACCAGTCCAAGCCACTCAACAGCTGGAGACTGAAAAGCACGGAAGTTATTTTAACCATTTACATCTCTACCCAGCTGCTTTCCAAAAATCATCTCTTGGTTAGAAACGCACGCTAATAAATGCACTTTACAGCACGGCCATAGGAGGCTGCTCTCACTTTCAGGAAAATTTTTAGACCGAATCAAGCTCTGTTCTCAGGTCGCTTGCAAGACTGTCAGGTTTGCTCTCCACTTGACTGAGTTGGCTTATACCAACGAGAGCTATGGAAAAAGAAAATAATTAAATCACCCTTTTACGAGCTCACGTGGATCAAGTTAATGTAAAGCCACATTTTAGCCTGGAAACTACAATCCTCTTGTGCTCAGCCAAACGAGCATCACCTTGTGAGAGTTATTTGCTACACCTAAGTAGATCCAATGGCAGGATTAGACCAGAGGAGAACCCCAACTGCCCTAAACAAGGTCACCGGGTTGTTTCATTTGAAGGAGGAGCAGACAAACTTGAAGTTCGCCGTTTCAGGATTTTAACGCATGTAGACAAACCAGTCTTTTTTCATAGCAGACCTTCCGCAAGCGGAGCGACCGGTTTGCTGAGCGCATCAGCGAAGCCGCTGCCCAACAGCCAGACAGCTCAGGCACAGAGTCACATTTCGGGTTAGTTCTGCCCTAAATATTTTTAGTTGAATCCACACTTCGAACCTTTAACATGCTGGATCTTAACTTAAGATCTAGACAAATTTTCAAGTCGAATTAAGGGCACTCGCAGCTGTTCCGGCAGCTATTCCCGGCCCTTGCTAGTATTTTTGAGAGCACATTTTAGAGCGGGAATGTCTCCTGTTGCTATGCAGATGAGCACCGATATAGAAAACACAAAAAGCAGCCATTGTCCCGGTGCTATCCATGACAAAGCACGCAGGGACTCTTTGTCAGACTTCAGGGGATGTTTCCCCAACTTTGCTGGGGAAAGTATTTTAATTAAACATGCGACTTTCAAGTGCTCTTTAAATCCGGAACATGCGCATGTGCTACGCTCCGGTCAGGAGCCACTCCTTGCTCGCACGACTCGATCCTCATTGTCTGGGTCACGTGCATCTCACCGAGACAACCGTCTCCTTGCTCCGATACTGACCTCAAAGGCTGTTAATTAAAGAAAGGAATTAAAACACCTTGCTAACAATAGCAGGACTCAAAAACCAACGAGCTCGTACCTTAAGAAATTCCGTTATACAATCTGTCAACTGCTTGTGCCCTTGGATGTTTAACTCCAGCTCATAAAATTTAGACACGAGTTTGGACTCCCTGCCACACTGGTTGCAGCTAGGATTAAAAAAAAAAAAAGAGATAAAAACAGATGAGGACAGTCCACTGGTTCATGTGTCTGAACTCCCCAGCCACTAGTAAAATACTCCTTGAGCTATAAAACCAGGAGCAAAAGTTAAGCCAGAATTAATGTGGTTCACATCTCTATACCACAACAACTCTGCAAGGTGTAAACAGGATAATAGCATCTATCAGGAAAAACAGAAGCACCTGCTTACAACTCATTTAAGCCATTTTAGATCATTTTTGAGGTGAAATCCACAGCTCTGAGAACACAGGAATGAAAATAAGACACCTGAGTACTCTGTTTTCTGGCTGTGGGGCTGTACATTCCATTAACTCACTCGCAGGTTTAATGGGTAACTTTTCATTACGGGATTAAAAGCAGCTGGTGAACTGCAACACCACCATGCGCACAGAATCAGGAAAAGTAAAAGCGAAAAACCTCTTACAAAATATTTTGGCAGAAGCCTACCTGCCCCAGCCATTAGGAGGGATCTTTCCCTCTCAACTTCCTCTGAAATATTTAAGTATTTACAGAAAGTTTCTTCCCAAAGACCAAATACTTACACCGTGACATAGGCGTACTCTCCACAAAACTGCTTTTGCACTATGTTTCGAACATCTGGGTTTTTTTGTTTGGATAAAGTATCTTCCAGCAGCGACATGAACAGCTTTGAGAACTCCTGGGCATCCTAGAAGAGGAAGCCGAGCCCGTTAACAATGCGCCCCAGCACAAAGCCCAATCACAACCTTGTCGCTAATTTACTGCAAATTACCCGGAGCCCTACACACAGGCTGCACAGAGGCTCCGGCGTGCACCGAATAGAAAAAAAGACCAGTCGGGAGAACTAAAGAAAAAGAGGAATTTGTCTAAAAGGAGCGTGAGGCCCCCAGCGTGAGATCGCGGCGCGAGTTAACCTGGCTCCCGGCCAGCCGCGCCGGGTGGTTTGACTTGTGCCCCGCTCCTCGCAGGGCTCTGGAAGGAAAAAACAAAAAACCTCCTGCAGAGCTTTCCATCCCGTTACCGCTCCTTCTTCAAAGCTTGGCACGCAATACAAGCTGTCCCTGCTTGCGTTATAGGTGAGAATTAAAATGAAAAACACCCCAAAAATGAGATTCATCCCCTCCTGCAAGGCTCAGGAGTTTCCCCACTCTAATCTCGGAGCCTTCCCCTCCCATGCTGGCTCTCCATTGCTCTCCCCTTCCGAAAACAAACAGGCTTTGGCCTCTTCCCGGCTGTCCTTCAGCATCACTGGGCAGTAGTGACCTCTCCCTTCCCTCCCACATCCTCCCAAGGAAACGCAGGCCAGCACTCAGGCTCTTCCTCCAGCAAGCTCCCTCTTACTTCTCAAAGCGTAGTTTCAAGCCGTGCCCTCTTCAGCGAGAGCCCCACAGGACCCGTCTGCGGCGCCCGCCCCTCTCCAACCCTGCTTTCTCTGCCCCACACGCTCGCGCTGGGACCTTGGCTGCCTCCCGGCGACCCGACCAAATGTCGCCTCCCCCTGCGAGGGCCCTTCAACCTCTGCTGAACTACCCACCTGGGAGGAGCAGCCCATAAAGCACCTGGAAAGGACCCTCACGGAAGCTTCGGCTCCCACCCAGCACGGTGCTGGGGTCGATCAGGTGCTAACAACACTCCCCGTCCCCATCCCACCGCTCCCTGGGCTCCTCCTGATCTCCCACACGGACGGGAAGGGCCCAGAGCACTGCTTCCCCCTTTGCGTTTGTACCGAGCAGCAGAACCCGGCTCAGAGATGCTAAAATAACATCAAAGGGCGGTTTCACGCTGTTTTGAAGAAGGTAATTACTCGAGGGGCACGCCGCAAACCTACCTGCTGCTGTCCCGTGTCCAAGCCCAGTGCTTTGACAAAGCCAGAGGGATCGATGTATCGCCTTTTGCTGTTCTGCAGCAAGGCAAACAAGTACTGCAGGTGTTCACAAATGGTCTGAGGCTCATAGTCTATTAAAACAACAAGTTGCACAAGTTACAGCAAGTAACTCAAGGCTAGAGATTAACTGTTCCAAGTAATGTGCTTGTTCTTTCTTTGTAAGGGTAAACGTAATGATTAGAAATGATACGGATTTTAAAAGCGGTTTGAAATTATCGCGAAAACCGAAGTGGTTCATGTCAGTGATAACAGCGACGTCCCAGCGCAGGCCAAGTATCATAGAATCACCAACTCATTTAGGTTGGAAAAGAAAAGACCCTTAAGATCATCGAGTCCAACCGTAAATATCCCGCAGGGCCTAGCGCGAGCTGTGAGCGAACAGTTTAAGCAGCATGCGCCGATTGCCCCGTAGCGACAGCTTCTTTTTTTCTTTTTTTCACCCTAAACAGTGAAACATCATTTATAAATACCACAAAAACAGGAACACAGGAAATCAGGCGGCTGCCCTGACCCAGAGTGCACCTATAGCACCATATCATACATAAATGTATGTCTCCCGAGGTCATCGCATCCGCTGTGAGGGCGCTGGCAGTCTCATTTGTGTCGCAGACCTAAATTTTTGCCCTCCCATGGGATGAGTGTGGCTCCACGGTAGCACAGATCAGCCCCAACCCATGTGCTTCCAGCCCCAGAACCATCATTAAGCTGGGAACCAGTTTTGGAAGCTGCCCAGCAAGAAACAAACCCAAATCGGATATTTCAACCAGATCGGATCACTCTGCTGAAGGATGGTTTGTTCCTAAAAGCTAGGTGACAGACTCAAAAATATCCGAGTGGAGATTGGATGAGCGGCTGTAGCTTCACCCATCAATTCTCCCGGTAAACGTTATCCCAAAGCCGATGCCAGGGTGTAAAATTTTAGGAGAAAATGAAAAAAACCACCCACCTTTGTCTTTCGGGAGGCCCTCTCCAGCCGCGTACTCGCTGCAGGTGCTGGGACACAAGTAGAGGGCTTGTCGGAGCTCCAAGTTAAGAAACCACATCTGCAAGAAAGTGTTCACGTAGCACGTGGCGCCGAGGTTCGTTAAGCCCACGAACGCGTTCTGGCGTAAGAGAGAAAGCAACAGTTGTCACTCGCCGCTGCAGAGGAGCAAGCAAGAATCCAGCAGTCAGGGCGGCCGCTTTACGGCTGTTTGTCGGGAAAACGCCGCTCCGGCGTGGTACAAACAGCTGCCTCCCGAACTCCCCAGCTACAGGGGGACATGAGGTGTCACCTCCCTTTGTCCCCATTTTCCCCTGGGGACCGGGAAGGGCAGGGGATTGGCTTTGTTTTGGGGGTGGGGGGCCCTACCTTCTTGCGGCGCTCGCAGTTGGGGTCGTCGATGTTGTGGAAGCTGTTCTCATCTATCTCACCCAGCCAGACATGCTCCCCGATGCCCACCAGGCAGTTGGGGTTCCCCCGGCAGTTCCCCCTGTGGAGCCAGCCCCCCCCCCAGCCGTCACCCCCAGCAGAAAAGCAGAAGGGACGCTCTTATCCCTTGGGAAGGGAGCATGGGGGATGAGGACAAGAAGGGGGACCCCATAACGGCTAAACGGAGTGGGACACGAGTTCCCTGAAACCCCCCAAAAACGGTGGTTATGGATGAACAAGGAGATGGAGAACTAGAGGTGGGGGGAATAAGGGGGACCCCAGGGGAGAGAACAGGACCTGGGGAGATTCCCTACATCTGGGGAGCCAGGCAAGGAGAGGGGTCCCCCACAACCCCGCGGGGGTCCCTGTACTTGGGGAGGCAGGTAGGGAGAGGGGTCCCCCACAACCCCGCGGGGGTCCCTGTACTTGGGGAGCCAGGCAGGGAGAGGGGTCCCCCACAACCCCGC